TTTTGAAAATAGTTGCTCACTAATATACGCGCATATGAACAATGATGACATGAATAACGAATGATTGTACAGAAAGGGTTATTTGTTTTGGGGTAGGTATGATTTATATACAAGTCCAATAAATAGAGAGACTTTATAAAATTTCTCCTAGAATTAAATGTTTGATTGCATATCTTTAAATTCTATTTTAAAATTTGCTAACAGCATATTTATATTGACTGTAGATGTAGTCATTAAAATTTTTTGGTTTTTTCGAAAATCCAGAATTTTTTTTTTTTTTTTTTTCGGATTCTAGAATCAAATCTCAAAGTAAGGCTATTTATTTCTTCCTATTTTTAGTATTATATTCTGAAAACTTTTTGAAATATAGAAAAAAAAATTTGCGTTTATTTAGGTTTGCCATACTTTCAATTTTAAAAAACTTCAGAAACTTTTAATCTAAGAACCAACTTATCTGTTTAATGTTTCAAAGTTTGAAACATTAAATAGATAAGTTGGTTTTACATTGAAATGCATGTAATTAAACATGCCATTACTTAAATAAATATTAGTTAATTAAATTAGCCGTCAAATTTACCAAAAATAATAAATCCGCAAGCCATTTGGTTTCATCAAGTTCTGGTACACATTTTGCTTTAGATATCATAAATGTTGTGTTTTCGTTAAATGCACTTTTTTTTTTTTTTTTTTACATTTGCCTTCGACTGACGCATCTCATTTCTGTTCATTATATGAAATCGTCATACTTTCATCATTGTAGAATTTAAGAAATGGTTGGAATTTGTGATGATTCAATCTCCGGCCCATTGTAAAGGTGCCTTGACGAAAATTTCACAAGATGGCCCATATTTAAAGCTTTTCCGCATAAATTTTCTTGGTGTATATTCAATAGTGCTTCAACAAACGAGAGTTTCCATATCAATAACTTTGCCTTCTATTATTTTACAAGTCCCTTTTTCTCCTATCATAATCTAGGGTACCATCCGTAACTGCACCATATATATTGGCAAAAGACATGAAAAATCGCGTAACAATTTTTTCACTGCTTCATATAAATTTCTTGGTAGTAGCATTAATATTCACATCCATTGCCAGAGAATAAGATTTAAAACTACACTTTTCAAATTTTTTTCGACAGATTTCAATAGTTTGATGAAATATACTGATTTTAGAATTGTCGTCTTTCTGATCAGGAAAAATTTTCCTTGTCATTTTTTCCATATATTGCTAAAAAAACTATCATTTCGATTTTTTTTGGCGATTAAATTTACGATTACAGAACTTTTGTTGAGATAAAATGCCTGCTTTTAGAACCGCTACATTGTCAATACGACATATCCTTCCTTAGCATTGAATTTAGAAGATGCTTATGCGTATAATGCCTTTTTAAATTATTCTCTTTGAAGACAGGTATGAAAACATGACCAAATTAAACATAATGTCTCACTGTTTCTTTCAGTAAAAAAATAGTTCTATTTTATATTGATCAATATTTTGATCAGTATATTGATCAATGTTTATTTTTATATTGATCAATCCTTTTTCATTGATATATTTCTTTTTTTTTTATATATAATTTCAGGATTTTTTTAGATGCAGAAGCCATGCTAAAATTTCAAATTTTTTCAAACTATTTATCATGTAATGACAAAGATAAGGGTAATAACGAAAATAAGTTTTATTTATTTATTTTTATAAAATAACAGCAATATAGATTAGTAATGTTCATTAATGAGTTAAAAATATATTTACCTGCCTTTAACAGAAGATAAAGTCGATTAGTCAATAATTATTTCCTTTTCTTCACTCAACTTAATGAACATGTCAACCGAACTGTTTTGCTTTAAAACTGTTCTCAAACTATGCACAAATAACAAAATATGAAACCCATCGAGTGATATGCCTCACACTCCATCTGATTACAACAGTAAAATAAATCATAAAGCTTTGATTCTTGCTCTTTATTTTCGTTCTACAGAAGAATAAGCCTGTCTTCAGACTAAGTGATAATACTATGTAGGGTATGACGGGGAATGAAACAGATGTTGATTATAAATAAGTTTCTCTTCTCTCTCTTGTCATGCAGTCAATTCAAACTCCCAGGCGACTATCCATTAGGTATTAAGTGCAATTCACGTTCTCATCCTTACTTGTTGAATCAACTCAAAGGACAATATTTGACGCTAAGATCTTCAGACCCGTCATCTAGTTGAAAGATAAGGGAAATGGAATCAGTTAACTTGCCTTGTTTGAAAGCAGTCTTAGGCTGCCTGTCGAAAAAGAGATACGGACGTTGGCCACTAAATGGACCCTCACTCGATGTTATTATCGGCCACTTGCTTTGGTGCGGATAAATCATCGATATCGACTCGTTTATAGTATAAGGCAATATCTCACGTGGCATTGAAATTTCTATAATATTTAGACACGACAGAAGGGGAGAAGATCTTGACTCAAAGGAGTTATTTGGCACAAAAACTCTTGAATTAATTTTATGAAGTTATATTTTCTTGCAGAAGATATTCATATTTCTATCACTCCGTACTCTCTTTTTGGGCCGCATGAGATCTCGAACTAGGTGTGGATAATCCTAATCTATAAGATAAGTTAATTATCTTTAAGGTTTTTTATCATCCTAAGGTGTAGTATGAAACTTAAGAGAGAAATTCCCCAGCTTAAATGTCGTCATCGTTTTGGATTTCATTTTGAAGCACTTTCAAATTATAAATAAGGAATCGACCTTGATATTTCACTCTTCAGAGTTTTCATGTTAACACATGAAAACTTTGAGACAAGGACTACGTGTGCTTTTGGACTTTGAAACCTGTTGGACTTGAAGATTTAAGTACAATTGGCTAAATTCATGTGACGCTACTATCACGTATCAAATATCCCTTTTCTTTTAAATCAAAACTCGCAATAATTTCGTGTACTTGTTTTACACCATCAACAATTTTAATGTACTATCTAAAAAATGTCTTGCTGCGCAACATATTATTGTTATAGGAATTTTAAGAACATATGATCAAAAAGTCTCCTTATGGGGAAAAATGTTTGTTGAAATCCTTCTCCGAAGAGGAGAGAACCAAAAATGAAAGAAAAATGACCACCTACACCTCGCTTTTGGGTATGTAATTGTATGCTTATATGTTTTGTTCAGTGTGAGTATGTATATATAGTGTCGAAAGACTGATTCATTGTTTTTTAATGGTGCAATTAGAAGCAATACAAGGGTTATTGGCGACGGACCTCGTAATTTTAAAACTCAGTCAATTGACGAGGATGACACCTGAGCTGGCCTCTCCATCACCTAATTTCTACACTAACTACGCCAATGGGAGGACTTGGAACTTCGACAGATTTAATGTACATCAACCTCGTTACACAATTGGTTTGTTGTGGCATCAGGGCTTGAGGCCATGACTCATTGAAACCAACGCCGGTCGCGAGTTCATGATTATGACCACTAGGCTACCGAGGCCAGTTTTAGAAGGTAAACTGTTGATGTACTAGTTATAAACAAAAATTCACAAACTGTTTACATAAAATATTTGCCAAATTTGAAGGAAAAAAATCGAAACTCTGCAAAACTCATAAATTTGTGGATAATTTGTAACAGTTTTTGAAGAAGAGATCCGAATAAGGAATGCATCGGGATTTAGGTACTTATTTAAACAGTAAAACTCGTGTATTTTTTCTTTCCTTAGAATTACCTTGTCAAAAATTGTTTTTAACTAACACTGTACCGTCCTTATTTTTCTTTCGAATATCGTGTGTTTTATACAATGCAGGAATATTCAGTTGAATTAATGTTCAATGTGAGAATTTAATTTTTTGTAGTTGCTAGAATGAGAGACAAAATACATTGTTGGAAGTTTATTATCGACTACACAAGTTCAGAATGTATTGAAAAAATAAATAAATAAATAAAAACATGTTTTTATCATTTAAATTTTTGTGTAGAGTGATTTTTCTTTGGTATTTCCGTTAAAATTATTAACGTTCAATGGGCTGGTACGGCCTTGGTCCCGAACGCGCCGTAATAAAGAACGCCTACTGTATTTTGTGCTGTAGAAATAAGAGAGAGTTGTATTTAACGTGACCTTAAGATAACTAGTGCATTAGGAGTAGGGGATATTATTATTCTGAAGACAGATGTCAAGATCTTTTTTTCCTATTGATGAAATTACTTAAATCACTTTTTATGGAAAACGAGAAAGAGAATTTAATTCTACAACTTTTTACCCTGTTCATTTATCGAAAAAAGAAAAGAAGTAAAGAAAAATATAAAATAAGATTAAAAAAAAAAAAAATTATTGAATATTACAGGATGATCCTTAAAGTGTCATTTAATTCAAACATAAGATAGGGTAATGAGAAATAGTACAAAAAGTAAATATTAATAAAAAAAAAATACCTCAGATGAAATTAGTATATCTCCATTTCACTTTTAGAAATACTGCACAAACTTTTTTTTTATTACAAAAAAATTATATAATGTTTTGAAAATGTAATTTTGCTCTTAGATGTAAAAATAAGTTCCTTAATAATGACAAAAGAATAAATTAAGAAAATTTCAAGTTGCTTAATAATAATGAACAAATGTGGATTTTAAAGACATATGTGAAAAGAAATGCTCATAAAAAT